ATAGGGGAAATTTGCATCTTATTAAAATCTTTAAAGATTTTTACTTATTAAATTCTTTAAATATTCATGATACAAAGTTCCTATTTTGGTTTAGTTTTGTAATTTTTCAGTGTAAACCTTTATAATAGGTAGAAAAATTAAAAGGAATTGTATTTAGTTCAGTTTCATTTATACTATACATATGTGGGTGATTTTTTTTTTTTTAAATAGCTTCAGGCCAGGTATTCTCCAATGTTTAGCAGCATCACATTAGAAGGCAGTAGCACCCCTCTCCCAGTTGTGAGACCTGAGAATGTTTCCAGACATTGCCAAATGGCGGAGGGAGGGGAGACAGCAGGGGGAAAAAAATCACCCTGGATGAGAGCTATTACTTTAGGCCATAAAGTAGTAGAGTAACTTGAACCAATAACATAGTTTAAGTTAAATTGGAATTTATAATCTGAATTTATTAAAAATAAATCGTTTAGTCTAAAACATTAATGTTTTTCCTAGCTTGGTTTTTATTTTTATTTTATTGGCAGTATAAGAATTTTAGTGTTCTACATTTAGTGGTAAAAAGAGATTGGTTTTAGAATCTAATTAAAATGAAAATGTTTCAGAAATTCTAAATTAATAAAGATTGAGGATGGATATACATAGTTTTTAGACCTCTTAAAATAAAAAATTGAGATAAACAACATAGATATCAAAGATTGAGATTCAGCAGAAGACCTGTGTTTTGCAAAGACTACTTGAGAAAATTTTTATTAAATGTGAGTTTGGAATGTAAATGTAAATGTGAGTTCAGAACTATAGAAGGATTAATTTTAATATTATGATGGAAAACATTAGTAAAGATGGCTCTAGAAGTAATCTGGAAAATAGCATTAGTTGGTATAAAAGTTATAGTATTTTTCTAAAAAATGCAAATACAGTGTGTATAGAATTCCATTGTCTAGGATTGTAGTGCTGCTAGTAGGAAACAAGATATATAAACATGAATGTCTAAACTCCTAAAAGCAAGTCTTTGCATCAGATAAAAAGGTGACAGATTTGACCTTAAAAAAAGGTGGCAAGATGTGTCTTATAATTAATTATATTAACATATTTTAAAATTAAGTTCCAAGTAAAGTTTAACATAGGGTAATTAAAGGCAACTGTATTTGGTTTAGCTTGTTCTCTTTTTATTGTTATAAATCCTAAGTAAAACAAAACTGAATTATATCAGTTTGGACTATTAGTCATAAAAATTGTAGGATATGGGGACACAGCCAGTGATAGAGAAATAAATTGTAATTTAGTAAATAGAAATGAAGAAAAACCAATATTTTTGTTTGTTTTAGATTTCTCTGGTTAATAACTTCCTGAAGTATGGCTTAAATGAGCTCAAATTGTGCTTCCGAGTAAGACTCACTAAATACCTCTATGAGGAGTATCTTCAGTAAGTAATAACCTATTTTTATATTAAAAGTATTTACGTTGAACAGTAATATTTATGACACTGAGATACAGAAGTTTTTCTTATAGTAAATAATGATATGGTTTTCAAGAAAACTGCTCTTGTCTTAGACACAGAGCATATTGGGAATGACTTCTTAGTTGTTTGGAATCTGGTCCTGGCTTTTCCATTAATTGGCAAGTCATCCTTCTCTGGTCGTGCATCCTTGTCTCTTCAATAAATTAGGACAATCTTTAGAGTCTCTTCTGCCTCCAGACTTTTCTGTTTGTATTTATACTAGGTGTTATAATGTGAATTTTTTTGTTTTCTTTTTAAAATCACTTGTTTTAAAATCACTTTCTTATTGCTATTTCAGAGCTTTCACATATTATAAAATGGGAAATCTGGACAACAGAATAGCTAATCCAGACCAGCTGCTAACACAAGATGTAGAAAAATTTTGTAACAGTGTAGTTGATCTGTATTCAAATCTTAGTAAGGTAAGTTTCTCCATTTTTTAAAATTATCTATTTACTTGGTTGAATTTTGAATCTAAGCAAATTTATATAGAATTGATTTGACGGACAGTACAGCAACATATAAATATTTGATGCTTTTATAAGAAAATTAGAGTTGTTATAGTAATTTTAGTTATAATTTAATTTCTTGTATTACTTTTGTGAGGTGTTTTGGCCAAGAATTGATAATTTAGTGTCTTTTAAATATTTTGTAAGAATTTTTCAGGCTGATTTCAGAAAAACAACAGAAATCTGAGTTCTCATCTCTTGACCTATGCTAGCAGTTGTCAGTTTATGTTTCCAGTTCCACATACGTAACACTAGACAAGGACATCCTTCCTGCCTGTTTCTCTGCTTTAGTGTCTCTAATTCTAATAGATCATTTAAGTAGCAGTCAAAGAATTTTCACAAGATTTAAGTTTATTCCAGTTTTCTAATTACTATTTTTTTCTCCTTCTTTGACTATTGTCAGAGCTCTTGACTCTGATAGGCCTTAACCAGTTTTCTTTCTTCCTGCTAATTTCTTTAATTCTTACTTGTCTTACTCATCTCATCACCCTGCAGCTTTCGCTATAGTATTTTCATTAAGCTGTCTTCTTTGCCATTACCTACTGCATTGACTGGGACACGGAGTGGGCACCCACACAAGATTGTCTATCCCTCACCCCTCCCCTCTTCATTGAAGATGCTCTACTTCCCACTCTAGTCCACTGCCCTTGGTTGGGGTAGGCACTTTTTTCAAACTGGACAGATTACAGGTTGAGTATCCCTAATGTGAAAATCTGAAATGGTCCAAAGTGTGAATAATTTTCAGTGCCAACATGACTCTCAAAGGATATGCTCATTGGAGCATTGTAGATTTTGAATTTTCAGATTAAGGATGCTCAGTGGTGTGTATTCTGCAGATATTTCAAAATCCCAAAATATTCGAAATCCTACACACTTCTGGTCCCAAGCATTTTGGATAAGGGTGTATCTTTGCCCCTGTTCATCACTGACTCAGATATCTAGTCTTGGGGCAAGAAACTATATACAAGGTGCTGTTTCACATTGTAAGTATAGGGATGCTTCTACTTCAACCGTGTGGATGAAAGGAGGATAGGCAATTCTTAGAAAAGTGATATGCATCCGCACAAGCTTCCCTCCTTGTGCACAGGCCTGCCACTAAGTGATATGTACCACAAGAACCTCCCTCCTCATGCACAGGCCCACTGATGTGTATGCACAAGAGCCTCCTTCCTCGTGCACAGACCCGCTACTCAGCCATATGTATCCATAAGAACCTTCTTCCTATGCACAGGCCCACTATTCGTGGATGTGTATCCACAAGAGCCTCCCTCCTCGTGTACAGGCTCGCTACTCAATGATGTGTNTACTTCTAATAGATCATTTAACTAGCAGTCAAAGAATTTTCACAAGATTTAAGTTTATTCCAGTTTTCTAATTACTATTTTTTTCTCCTTCTTTGACTATTGTCAGAGCTCTTGACTCTGATAGGCCTTAACCAGTTTTCTTTCTTCCTGCTAATTTCTTTAATTCTTACTTGTCTTACTCATCTCATCACCCTGCAGCTTTCGCTATAGTATTTTCATTAAGCTGTCTTCTTTGCCATTACCTACTGCATTGACTGGGACACGGAGTGGGCACCCACACAAGATTGTCTATCCCTCACCCCTCCCCTCTTCATTGAAGATGCTCTACTTCCCACTCTAGTCCACTGCCCTTGGTTGGGGTAGGCACTTTTTTCAAACTGGACAGATTACAGGTTGAGTATCCCTAATGTGAAAATCTGAAATGGTCCAAAGTGTGAATAATTTTCAGTGCCAACATGACTCTCAAAGGATATGCTCATTGGAGCATTGTAGATTTTGAATTTTCAGATTAAGGATGCTCAGTGGTGTGTATTCTGCAGATATTTCAAAATCCCAAAATATTCGAAATCCTACACACTTCTGGTCCCAAGCATTTTGGATAAGGGTGTATCTTTGCCCCTGTTCATCACTGACTCAGATATCTAGTCTTGGGGCAAGAAACTATATACAAGGTGCTGTTTCACATTGTAAGTATAGGGATGCTTCTACTTCAACCGTGTGGATGAAAGGAGGATAGGCAATTCTTAGAAAAGTGATATGCATCCGCACAAGCTTCCCTCCTTGTGCACAGGCCTGCCACTAAGTGATATGTACCACAAGAACCTCCCTCCTCATGCACAGGCCCACTGATGTGTATGCACAAGAGCCTCCTTCCTCGTGCACAGACCCGCTACTCAGCCATATGTATCCATAAGAACCTTCTTCCTATGCACAGGCCCACTATTCACTGATGTGTATGCACAAGAGCCTCCTTCCTCGTGCACAGACCCGCTACTCAGCCATATGTAGTATCCATAAGAACCTTCTTCCTATGCACAGGCCCACTATTCGTGGATGTGTATCCACAAGAGCCTCCCTCCTCGTGTACAGGCTCGCTACTCAATGATGTGTATCCCGCAAGAGCCTCCCTCCTCAGGCACAGGCCTGTTACTTCATGATGTCTATGCATGAGAGCCTGCTCACTTGTGCACAGGCCCGCTACTCAGCGATGTGTATCCACAAGAGCCTCCCTTCTTGTGAACAGGCCTGCTAGTCCATGATATATGTGCACAGGAACCTCCCCCCTCGTGCACAGGCCCACTCCTTATCCATGTGTATCTGTAAGAGCCTCCATCTTCGTATATAGGCCCACTACTCAGTAATATGTTTCCACAAGAGCCTCCCTTCTTGTGCACAGGCCCACTATTAAGATACTTTTTCACTTTATGGCAGACTTTGTTCTTTAGCTCTCTAGAAGACTTTGCTAACTGATTCCAAACTCTAGGAACTCTGACAACTACAAATAATTTAGTTGATTTCTTTTCTGTTCCCGTTACCGCATTTTAAAGTTTGTTGTCCGTGTGTGTACATGCACACGTGCACAGTAGTGTTGGGGGACATATATATAAAACTTTTCATGTAATTTGATAGACATTATTATGTATTCTTTACTTCCTGTTACTTGAGCAAATCTGTAGCTCCGGTCTTGTCACATCTGCAATAGAGAAGAGTATTATCAAATTAATTGTAGTGGTACTATGCGCCACAATGTGTTTACTGTATTATACATCTAATTTTTTGATCTCTGACTTGAGTCATTATTTTTGTCAATAACTTTTCTTGAATTTTACAAGTGTCTCTACCTTCTTCATAATATATAAGGCAAAAAAAAAGGTAGATCTAAGTACAAGCCAATTAATAGACCAAGCCATCTATCCTAGTAATTAGTCAGAAAAGGTGGCTGTTGACTTAAAGTGAATAAACACAATTTGGATTTATTGAAAAACACTTCAAAATATATGCAACTGATGGTGCATCAGTTGTGTTGTCTCTTTGTGTGAGGAGCAATACACTAATGTATTATTTTAGTTCTAAAAGGTTGAGTTTTATATCACAAAATTAGAATCATAGGCTCACTCAGTTATTTCAATATATACATGTTGTGATAAACTAATAGAATTAAACAATATTAGAGCAGGAAGAACCTCCCATTTTAAAGGTGAAGGTATATAGAAACTAGAAAAACTGGCAGGAAATTTGAGGTTACAGCTCAGGTCATTTTATTCAGTGTCTTTCCCTTATATTGAGAAATTGCTAAGTTACTAATTAGCATAGTAGAGCTATCTTGGTTGATGGAAAGTGATAAATGTTTTTTCCACTTGGTCAGTAGACATCATTGTTCAGGCTGCCTCCATTTTAAGTTTTTTGAGATAAGAACTATATCTTTGATATATTCATTGATCTACATACAGTTATAGTACATTGTACACAGTGAGAACCCTACATGTTGACTTGGTCAGTAGACATCATTGTTCAGGCTGCCTCCATTTTAAGTTTTTTGAGATAAGAACTGTATCTTTGATATATTCATTGATCTACATACAGTTATAGTACATTGTACACAGTGAGAACCCTACATGTTAATAATTATGTATTAAATGTTGAATAACAGTTTGTATTTAACATGTTGTATTAGCTATCAATATAGTTCTTTAGGTTTAATTCTTTGTATTTTATTTTTACAGCCATTTTTAGACATAGTTTTGTATATCTTCAGGTTAACAAGTGCAATTGGAGCTCAGGTGAGTACTTTTATTCTACCTTTTAAATTGCTATGATACCATGTTATGAATAGTTCGATGGTTTGTAAGAATTTTTGTATATCTCAAAGAATGTGTTTTCACATGGTGTACCTAACAAAGTCTGGTTATAAAATAATACTGTGCTAGCGATTTAAAAAGTGCTAATTTGGTTTTTAAATTTTCTTTAAGTTAGATACTTAGAAAAATTTTGTGGCAGTAATAAACAGAAGTACTTAAACATTGAACAATATATGTACTTATTGTTGCAAAGTAATGTCTACAAACAGATTTGGAGATAGCTATTTTAATATGAAATTTGGATGTTAAAATATCAGCAATATGTTTAGAATGGGTGTAACGGTTTCAAGAATATTTTATAATAATGTAAATGGTTGGCTTTCCCATGAGCCTTATCACCTGTCTCTGATATCTGTGATGGCAAGAATCACCTTTAAATTTTCTGTGAGTATTCTTATTGAAGTCTAACTTTGTTCATTTAATATGTAATGTTATTGTCATATATTTATAACACAACTATATAAGAATGTGGTTATTTTATGTGTATATGTATATGTGTATGTATATGCATTTTGTAGCTGATTTATAAATAATTTACATAGTGGTTTTTGTTGCTTTCCAAACCACAGGGGAAAGCAGTTTTTTATATGAATTTTCTTGTCTGTCTTCCTAACCAACTTTGCTATTCCGTAATCCAGGTTTAATCATAGCTTTAATCTGAGCAAGTGAATAGGCCTAATGTTTCTTGTCTCTGTACTGTAATATCTTAAAATAATTAAATGTCTCCAGGTATTTCTTAAAGGCAGAAACTATGTTTTAATTATCTCTTTAACCCATATTTGCGGTAATTGTTGAAATGCATTGAATCAGTCAGATTTAATATTAAAAAATCTTGAATACATACTATATTCCACATACATTGTGTTAGGTAGTAGGAGTGAAAAGATGAGTAAGACACAGTTCCTGCTGGAGAGGAATTACAATATGGTGAAAGAGGTAGATATTCAAGCAGTTATAATGCAGTGTGGTAACTCAAGTAGTAGAAGTTTCTTTTTCTCTCCTTTTTTGTGGCTGGCTGGCACAGGGATTGAACCCTGGACCTTGGTGTTATCAGCACCATGCTCTAACCAACTGAGCTAACTGGCCAGCCAAGTTTCGATGAAGGCTTAAGTGCCTGGAAGAATTGGACCTTATATTTGCTCTGCTTTGGGGAGA